TCCTTTTACTTAAATTTTCAACATCAGTTTTTGTCTTTTGTGAATTCTTCAAGTGACGTCAAGGTTTGACTGCATTGCATAAAACTTAAAGAGAAAAAAAATAATTAAAACTTAAACTTAGTAAAACCTAATGTCATCTAACATTGGTGTAAATAAGAAAACAATTTATTTTCTTTCCTTTTTGAAAAAAATTGTAAAAAGTGTAATAATCAAGGGCTTGCGTGCAGTAGAAACCCCATATCCGGAATCGACAGGAAATTGATTTTTCTGGATAATAGATACCTAAGGTAAATAAATAATAATAGATTAACATCCTTATTCAATAACAAATACACAATAATTAATGTCAATTTCATTCAATAACATATAAATCCATGTGGTTTGCAATTTGGGCAGCCATTGTTGCAGATTTCGACCCGATTTTAAAAATCTCTATAATTATAACATGCCGCGAATTCTGAATCAGGCATTTAATTTAATCACTTCTCGACTCACTCGATTAGCGACGATTCCACTATGAATCCGCTTGGTTTTCTCGATGATTTTTTCCTTTTTTTTCCGGAATTTTGCATGGTTTTTAAAATCTCAATGTTTTCGTACTAAATTATTTCGTTCGGCAAACTACGAATCGTGCATCTGAAAAAATCGCATTTTTACGTACTCATTTAGTACATTATTGACGATTAACCTGTAAAACTACGTGGTTTCATTGATCGTATTTTCGTTATTGCAACGGATTTTCACTAGGCTTTTAAAATCTTAATTTTTAATACTACATTGTTGGGAACGGAAAGTTTTCAAGCATGCATTTAATATACTGATACTATTACGATTTGCGTATTTCGAATCGTGCTTTTAAATAATCACTTTATGACACGATATAATCGTGACAATTTCGTCTCAAATCCACAATATTTTCAAAACGCCAGAGTAAATGTACCTTTTGAAACTAAGTGCGTGTTTTTTGGCCGTAGTATATTTTTTTATGCAAAAAGAGAGAAAAAAAATATGCGATTCCCCCCCTATGAAATTTTTCTGTAATCACAAAATTCTATTTCCATGTTATGCAAAAAAAATTTTTTTTAGCTGCAATTGCATTAATATCAAATAAAAATTGGAAGTCAAGTAAAAGTTATAGAAAAGCAATGGATTTCCGTCCCTTCGTACTTTTTTTTTTTTTTTTTTTTTTTTTTNATCTACAATAATTTTTAAGATAAATTTTTTTTTTTTTGAAAAAAGAAAGAGTTTTGTTGATCTTTATTGTTAAAAAGTGTCCGGAAAATAGACTTCCAGTAAACGGCCATCCAGATATGGGACTTTATTTTTTTTTAAAAAATCAAAGAAAAACAAGAAATCTTTAATTCATTCAGAAAAAATTCACTTCATCAAAAAAGTAGCACTAATAAGGATTTCACAGTAAAATTTTGTGCAGGATGAATGATTAATAGTATCAGGTTGTTTGAAAAGCAATATCGTTTTTTAAAATTTTTTTATTAATAGGTGATTTTCTAATTGCGAATAAATAATTTATTGAATTGCATATTTTATATTCTGGTCCAATACCTCTAGCCATCTTTTTGGCAATAGCATGATTCTACGTGCATAAAATTTTTGTTAATGTTTTGGATGATGCGCTTTAAAAATGGATAATTTTCTTGAAGTTTGAAAAGCAAATCTCAGAAGTCAATGCGATTATTCAAATTTTTTTTAAGAACATGAGTAATCCATACTCAAGCTTTAAGATTACGCTTTTCAAACTATCACGAGCGGTCGAATTCAACAAATTTAATGTCTCAGAGATCTCACAAGTAGAATTTACCAGTTTGCATCATTTAGCTCCTTAATTGCATCATCAGCTTAAACTGGCGCGGTGCGTCATTGTGTATCTTAATCGAAATTTCGCAAATCAGTTTTGACACTGGCGTGCTGCAAATAGATTTTCTCCACACAACAGATGATTTTTTTTCTTGCTTACACAGTATTTAGATCTTTTTGGTAGCAAAAAAGTAAAATATGCCGACAATTCCACTTTTCCCTTTCATATTTGAAAAGGCACAAACCAAAAACAACAGCATAGAATCAATCAAACTTTTTAACAAGCAAGCCTTGCTAGGTCAGTTGTCAAAATATATAATGTTTGTGTGACCTAAGTATTAAGTTGATTGTGAAAAAATATAATTCAGTTTTTTTTGGGAAAAAACGAAATTACTTTCTAAACAACCCAATAAATTTAGTTGTTCGTAGTAATTTAAATCATTAAAAACATGCGTCAAAAGAATTGAATATTGACTTAGAGATATTTCAAATTTATTTAGAGGCTATGATAGGGACGAGCGAAAAAATTATTTCCTATGCACAATTTTTTGTCTTTTTTTAATATTTTATTAAATTAGGTATTTTATGAATATCGTAAGTTTTTTTTTTCTTTAAAATTGTTCAAAACCAAATGTCATTCTCAACGCATTTAAAGAGCTAACTTATTGTAAAGTTATGTTCAACACTTGTTTACGAAAGACTAAGTAAAAAAAATTGTTTAGTTTTTAAAGATTAATTTTTAAGTGTTCATTATCTAGTTATCAGCTTGAACAATCGCAATGAAATCATTTTTATTGTTTTACTCGTCGAAACTAAATAGGTTAGAAATTTCAAGAAATATACCGTGAAATCTTAACTACCACTTTAATACTTCACTACATTTAACAACGGCATTATAATACCCGAAATGTAGAGGGTAGCCACAATCGGGTAAATATGGTCCCAATAGTTTGGTCAAGAGTTCAAAGTTTGAACCCCTTACTNTGACTAAATAATTCATACCTTTTGAATTTATTTTAATTTGTCATACCTTTATGTTTATTTAATTTAATCATTTTAATTAAATTCCATGATTTTGAAAATTATTTTAGGATTACAACTGGTTAGCAGATCAATGTTTTTTCAAATTATACGTAGTTTAAAAATGTTTTTTTTTTTGAGGTAATCAAAATGTGTTTAATTTGTTAAAATTATTGCATCATATCTTAAAAATGATTTATTTTATATATGTGAAGTTTTTTAGTTCGTTTTTAAACATTATGATATGTTATAGGGATCTAAAATATTTTTGTGCCCGGGGCCCCTGCATGCTATTAAGACGGCTCTGGAGCTTGACCTTCATAGTTGTAAATTTTCATGATGTCGTTAGAAGGCCAGTACCGGTGCTCCCTGTTTTTCTACATACATGAACAAAACAGGATCAGTACATGAACATCATTTCCTTCTTACAATCTTAGTCTTTTATGCCAGTATTTTATGTGGGCGAATATTGGATAAGTTATCCTCTTTACACAAGAAAAATTCCTCTGCTTTTCTCATGAAACCGGTTGCCCATTTCAAACGAATGCCTTTTCTGTTGATCACATACCTACATGTAACTTCTAGGCAGCTTGAATTGAAATCCACATTAGGTGTTATCATTGAAATTAAAAACTTCTTGCACTTCATTTTATATTTTTTTTATTTCTATTTTGACATGAAACATGTTAAAATAGTAATATATGACAAATCCGCTGAATTATCATTTTTACGAACTTTTTCTCCATCTTGCTTTGATGTCCATTAATTTATGATTTTGAGTTCCCGCCCTTTTCGTTTTTGTCATATTTTGATGTATAAAATACTACTTAATTCGATTTGCTATTTCTTGAGTCATCCAAGAAAATGTGTTTGTTCCTTTATTTTTGAACATGAGTGCATTTTAAGCAAGGTAATAAATTTTATAAATTTTTTTAGGACCTTAAAATTTTGTGGGAGATCCAATCCTGTATAAGTCTGTTTCTTATTAATCTAATTCTTTACATTACAACAAGACTAAATTGAATTTTTAGTTTAAATGTAAATAAATGTTACATATTTAGACAGTCTAAGTGAAAACAAGTAGTCAACTGCAGTGTAGATCGATTGTTCATATTAAATAATTTGATCTTATCGTTTTCCTACTTTGAAGTAAATACATGCTACAACATTTTTAAAGTGCAACACATTAATTATTTGACTGAACTGTTAAAAAGGTAATGATTTTCTATCTTTTACTTAAATTTTCAATGTTAGTTTTTTTTCTTTTGTTTATTCTTCAAGCTTGTGACCTCAAGGTTTGACTGCATTGCATAAAACTTAAAGGGTAAAAAAATAATTAAAACTTAAACTTAGTAAAACCTGATGCCATGATGATGTTTTTCTCTTTTTTTAAAAAAAAAATTGTAAAAGGTGTAATAATTAAGAAGATGTGTGCAATAGATAGAAACCCCATATCTGGAATCGACAGGAAAATAGATTTTTCCAGATAATAGGTACCTAAGGTAAACAAAATCGTTATTCAATAAAAAATAACAAATAGACGATAATCATTCAACAACGTATAAATCCGAGTAATTTGCCAATTACAATTTGGGCAGCCATTGTTGCAGATTTTGACCTGATTTTTAAAATCTCGATATTTTATCATCGTTTAATGTCTTGATTGCTGCATCAGCTTAAACTAGAGTGGTGCGTCATCGTGTATCTCAATTGAACTTTCGCAAATTAGTTTTGACACGGGCGTGCTGCCGATAGATTTTCCCCTCACAATAGATAATTTTTTTCCTCGCTTACACAGCATTTTTATCTTTTTTGAAAAGGCACAAACCAAAAACTACAGTTTAGAATCAATCAAATTTTTCAAGAAGCAAGCCTTGCTAGGTCAGTTGTCAAAATATATAATGTTTGTATGACCTAAGTATTAAGTTGATTGTGAAAAAATATAATTCAGTTTTTTTTTGGGAAAAAACGAAATTACTTTTTAAACAACCCAACAAATAGTCTGGACCGCAGGCTACTTTTAGAAAATCATCAGTATCCAATTTAGATTGTGTAGAAAATATTAGAAAAGATGCAATAATATATATATATGTTTAAAGTAAAAAAATATTTATTTTACATTATTTACAACAAAGATTCAACCTTTTTCTTTTTGTCGTTTGTAAAAATAAAAATCAGAAATATTGAAAAAAAAGTCTGTTAAACCAAACAGCAATAAGAAGTTTTAACATCATATGTCAAGATTTTTTTACAGCCAAAACACTTTTTAACGCTTTACGACCAGCAAGCTTTTTCCTTAATTTTTCTCGACTCTCATTTATCTTTTGAAGTTCTCTGAGTCTTAAATTGCGGATCAATTTCTCTTTCAAAAGTCTTTCTTGTTCTAAAAGCATATTTTTCTTTTTCTTCTCAAGATGTGAATCACTTATTGATGGTTTCTTAATCTTTTTCTTCAAATGTAAGTCCTTTTCTTTTTTACACATATCTTCATTTTCAATTTTCTTTTTCCTTTTAGCATTTTCTTGAGAAGGATGAGCAGCTGATGATTTTAAAGGAAGCTCCTTTTCTTTTAATTTCTCGGTTTTCTGAAATAAAAAAAGCCTTTATCAATTAATCCTTTCATATTAACTGAAAGAAAATAATTATAAATAGTTAAACAATTTCGCTAAGTGAATTATAACTTTTCATTACTTTTTTATGGAAGGATACATTGACTGTTTTTATTAATAAAGTTTATATAAAACATGGTCATAATTTTCTAAAATAGTCTAAAACCTAAAGATTTATAACAGACCTTTTGTTAGTACATTATTTACTGTCCTTTAAGCTCGACGAATATATTTTATGCCCTACTCAAACATTTTTCAATTATTAGGTTATAGCATGGTATCAGGAAGTTAAAAAATTATTAAGTTTTCCAGTGATAAATATATTAAAAAAAGTTATTTTTTAACAGTTTAAACTCAGTCTAGATTTTTTTTTTAAATCAGCGTTTATATTTTGTGATTGATTTTTAACCAGTGTTTTTTTTTGTTGCAATACTTATACAGGTTGCGTAGTCAAATTATTTAACAAAAAATAAGCACCTTTTAAGCATTCAAAAAATATTTTTAAGCAGTTAAAAAAATTATTGTAACTAAGCAGGGTTCGAAAGTTTTTGACAATTGACGGTTTCATCTGTTTTCAACGTCATGTCAAAAGAAAAAAAAAAAAACTTTTGGCACTGTTTTTGACAATTGTCAAAAATCATCAAATTTTGAATCATGCAAAACGAATGGCGTTTTCATACGCTACGTTCTGACAATACGCCGAAATAGATTGGGTTGGAGTTAATTGTGAAAACGTTGAATAGAACAATGTGAACTGTGTCTTTTTGCATAATTCAAAGCGAAAATCAACATGGTAAAGGAAAATTCTCATTTTGAAAAAGGGAAAATTAAGCACTTTTTAAAAATACCCAATGAAAAAGCACTTTTAAGGGCTTTTAAAAAACGAAAATCGAAAATAAGCACTTTTTAAAAATGTTATGCACCCTATTATACCATTTTAAGTGTTAAAATGTTATGAATATTGCAAACATTTAAAATAAAATGTAAAATTAAATCTCACAATAAACATAAAATATGATATGAAACATAAAATATTGGGCCAATATGAGACACTAACAGGACTAATCTGGAACATCATTATTTTGAATTTATCTGAATCAAGAAGCATTTCTCAAATAAGCATTATGTTTACTGTTTTAGCTGCAGCATTTTCATACTTTTTTAAATAGTGTTTAAATTCTTCAAAATGAAAATTCACTAAGCATACAAACTTTCTAAGCTTTAGATGGTAATTTATAATGAGAAAAAAAAGAAAAAAGTTATTCATCACAATAAAATTACATTTTTTGCAAGGTTTTAAACTTAAAAAAAGTATTTTATAAAATACACAGTTAATCAAATTAGAATTAATTGTGTTAATCATTTTTTGTTTCATTAAAATAGGAAGAAAACAAAAACTGTTATTATGTGTTCAATACATTTTAATATGAACAGATATAAAAAGTGCATACAGCCAGGGGTCTGTCCAGACCGAATTTACTACCATATAGCGGTACCTTCTCAAATTCAACTTAATCAAAAACGGTAGTTTCACAAAATATTTTTTCTTAAAATTTTATCTTCGTATCCCTTAAGAAACGATAAATCCATATTTTTACCATATTTTTGAGTTGATTTTTAATATAATTTTTAATTTTTCACAAATTATGTCTGAATTTTCACAAAATAGGTACCTCTCAGAAAAACCTAGACAGACCCCTGATACAGCAAATACAGATTATTGGTATAATGGATACATGATTTTTATAGAGTAAAAAAACTTGTAACTTGGAAAACATAACGTTCTTACACATTGCATGTTTTGAAAAGCTAAACCACAAGATGGAAGTTCACACTAAGATTGATTTTTCATTTGTTAATAGCTATAACAACAAACTGATATAAATTCTTATTATAAGTATAGCAGAAGTTATGAAGAATTAATCATAAAAATATATGAACATGGGTACTTTAAATTTACATTACAAAATACATTTAATTATATTGTGTATTTTAATAATCATTAGGACACATGAAATAGAGATGAGACATGCCATCTTGCTCAAATGTGTAGAAATATTACAGACTGAAATTTAAAAAAAAGTTCCGTAATGTACTTTAGATATTTAACCCTTGGCATTCCAATTGTAGTACAGTAAAACTAAAGAAATAGAGTCATCTTTATAAAGCAAGATTCTAAAATTTACAAGTAGAATCTATTTTAATTTTGAAAATATGGAATATTTTAAAAATAATAGTAAATATTTTCAAATCAGAACTACAGATTTGACTGTCGTCGCATGTCAATTCTTTTGTTGATATGTTCAAAAAATGTTTATATATATATACAGTCAAACCCCGCTATAGTGAACTCCCGGATATAGTGAACGAAATGTTCGGTCCCGTGCCTTGCTATACTCGGATAATGTTATTTTTTTGTGGATATAGTGAACCAAAAAAGTGAGGAAGTTGGATATAGTGAACTTTTTTCTGTCTTTGACTGATTTTTTAAAAAAATTTTTTTTAATAATTTTGAAATTTCTACTTCAAATTAAATACATATACCAATTTTCAAAATCATCTATAGAGGGGAATGTAGCGATAAGCATTTTTTCTTGTTTGCTTCTTTTATCTCACTTTCCCATCCCTAAACAAACCAAGCAGATGTTTCCAACCCAGGCAGACAATGCACCTGTAAGGTGTCACCGGGATCAATATGCATATTTTTCAGAAGGAATGAGTAATTATTCATTATTGGTCAAAGAGTTGGACACCAATATGTGTTGATAAGGCCATCATTTCAACTCTTTTTTGCTCTCAGTTCAGTTAAAATAAATCCTGCAAACAAGTGTCTCAAATTTAACTATGTCTAGCAGTAAACGTAAAATGAATTGATGATAAAATGGGCATAATCAGAAAAATTGAAAATGGATGCAATCAAGCTGATATTTGCAGGGAATATAAACTTTCCAAATCTGCAGTTTGTAACATATGGAAAAAAAAAGGCAATTAATATTTTCTGCTCATGAAAAAAATTTGGATGGTGGAAAAAAGTTGAGAAAAGCAGATCACAAGGATAATGAAAAAACATTGCTGAAGTGGTTCACCAATCGAAGAAGCCGCAATCTTCCAGTATCTGGCAAATGTCAATGAATTTGCTAAGCGATTTTATGAAACTACTTTTATGTGCTCGAATGGCAGGTTAGACAGGTTTAAAAAGCGGAATAACAGAAATTCAGGAAAAATTATCTGAGAGTCGGGAAGTGTTTCCATATCTGATGGTGAGGATCGCTCATCAGCTAAAGGTTACAAATTTTTTCGTAGGCAAGACGAAGAGTAATGAAAAATAACACATTTTTTGCTGCTACATAATATTTTACAGTCATTTATTTGAATAATGTGTAATAAAAGGGAGGAGTTAAGGAACCATTAGTTAAATTGACTGTGTAACGGATATAGTGAACTCCCGGTTATAGTGAACCGAAACTTCGGTCCCTTGAAGGTTCACTATAGCGGGGTTTGACTGTATATACACACACACACACATATATATATATATATATTTCTTTGTTAACTAAACTAACTTTTTTACCATGTGCAAATCCATAGCTAAAAATCTTCTACGAATTAATAAAGATTATTTTTCAATAAATGTTAGTAATTTCTCTATAAATCTTCAAAATTAAAATTTGACCTTTTATTAATGAAAAACTTTGGAGGTATAAAGTAACTAACAAATCAAATGCGGCTTTGTACTTCTGTAAGAATGAATTTGCTTCTTGCTCTATATGTGTTTGTGTTTTATTTTCTGTTTTTTCTTGAATTTTTATTGGTATCTATTTTTTGCTTTATCTGTTTTATTTATTTTGTATTTTTTGTTAAAATATGTTTTATTTCCTTCTCAATTTTTTTTGGTGCTGCTCTTTGGTGATACAATTGTATTGATATATTTTGCTTCGGCTACATTAATGCAATATTAGAAAGCACTCTATTTTGTGGATATAATTGTGTGAGCTGAGAAAAAAATAATATCTTTTCCTAATTTTATTTTTAAGCTTTTTTTTTAAAAAAAATTTAAGAACAATTTATTTGTTAATAATTTTTCTTCTTCTCTTTAAAAATAGTTTTCATTGTTTTCTGTGTATTTTTAACATTGTCTAGTATTGCCAAATATGCATAATTGAATTCTGAATTGAAATATGTAAACTTGCTCTTTTAAACTTGGAAATGCTATCAAGTTAACCTTGCTCTGTATACGTATCAGCATCCAGAATACAGCTCTTTTCCTTTATTTATTTCAATAACTTTTGAATTCTAGAATTGGTAGGAAGTTCAGTACCTCAGTTTTATCTCTAATAAATCTGTAAATCTGATACTTGCCTTAATTTGAAAAAGATACTTAATAACATAGAACATCTGTATAAAATAATACAAATAAAATATCTGTATAAAATAATACAATTAAATATTAATCTAAAAATACTTATGTCAGGATTTGCCTGAAACATTAATAAGTGAACTTACCTCTGCACGAAACAACAATTCTTTCAAAAGAGATTTGGCTTCATTTTCATACAGCGCTGGAGAGATTTTCTCATCCTTGATCACATCTGCAATGGAAGTGCCAGGTACTGGATTTGAAACCAAGGTATCACATTTTTGCCTGTACAAAATTAATTATTTAATTAAATATGCATAAATTACATCAAAGTATAAATCTAAGAAAACTTCAAAATTAACATTCAATTAAAAAAAAAAGAATAGAATGATTCGGACACAGTATCATCCTTACTAAAATACAGTAAGTATATTTCCACGCACTTTGCATTTTCTGTACAGGCATCACTATTAGACTTTGATAAAGCAGCCCGTTGTTTGATACATCTTTCACTAAGATAGTTGGTACGGTCAAAATCTACCTAAAATGATCATGGAATATTGTAATGTCTTAAAAACGAAGTGCATGAAATATTACTGAAAACAAGAAAATAAGTCAAAATTAAGGTAAAAGTATACAAATAAAGAAAGCCATTTAAATTTTTGTATAAAAAGATACAATTTAAATAATGTTTGCAACACAATAAACCCTAAGTTTATAATGAAGGCCTACTTAATAATTGTGTAGAATTCAAACATTATGCACAATAAGATTAATTTTGAAAAAATTATTTTTTTTATGAAAATGGATGATATTTATCTCTCTTTTTCTTTTTAAACAAATGCAAGACAAGTTTTTTGCAAGTAAAAAGAGATTGGCCAAACTTCTTCACTAGGAACTTTATACTTAACAATCCTAATATTTTTGTTCTACACAATAGCTTTATACTAACTATTTAAGACATAACTATATATTAGTTCTCTTATTAAAGTCATCGATTTCTTTAAAAAAAAAAATGAAACTATTTTTCAAATGAAACTCAAATGATGCACAATAGATCAATTTCAAATGAACTTTACAGACTAGAAACACTTATGAACGTTCCTAACTGGATGTTCATAGAAAACTTTTTCCCCGTCAGAATTATTTATTTAAAATCATTATAATTGTTTTTATTTTATTTTAAATAACAGAAATGAATAATAGAATAGAAATGAATTAATTTTATAGAAATGAATTTTATTTCAGTATACGTAGTACAAAACCCGTTATCTGGAACGGCCGGGACCATCGTTATTCCGGATAACTGATTTTTCCGGTTTTCTGAATCGCTACAAAAAGCCGTTTTTTTTTTATTGTTAAACCCAACTGAAAAAAAAAAAATTTAAATAATCTTAAAAATAAGAAAAAACGATGAAGTAATACACTAATGATTATTTCCAAGATGATGGTAAGGTAAACATCTTTAAAAAAAGAAAGAAAAATAGTAAAATCTTATGAGGAAAAAAATTATTTTTTTTAAAAATGGCGAGAAAATTTATCAAATTTCGTTCCGGTTTTTTGGTTTTTCGATTTCCGGTACATCAAATTTACATGTATTTCCTACTAACTACATTCCATTATAATTACCAAACTTGTTTTTAAAAACTCATTAATTCTTTCATACATTTCATTAGAGAAAATATATTTTCGTTAACAATACCAAATCACATTAGATATTTTAGTTTTTAAAAAAACTTTGATTTGAATTTAATGTTGCAAATTTAAAGGAAAATATATCAAAATGTTTTCATTACAATAAAAATTTGAATGCTCAGCCATTTTGGATTCTGAGGCCTATAATAAAATCAGCTATCATTGAAGCAGGTGATGCTCAATCAGTTGCGGTAATAGAAACAACTGGTATTCCCACGTATGGGGTTCCTACATTGTCACGGTGGCGTGGTTTGTGTATGTTATTGATCTCAAAAGCTATGCTGGCAGTAGCTTAGCTACAGACAGGGTCACCCCAGCCAGTCAGATTGCAGAGATCATCTGACAAAGAGAAGCAATCTGGTACTTAGTGGGACTGACCTTCATGCTATCTAGAAAAGAAACCGACACACAAGTCTCAACACGGAATGAAGTGGAGTATAATTCAAAGAAGGCTGTCTAACCAAATTCTGGGTCTGGCTCATCCTGGATTGTCAAGCGAAATAAGATAACTTGGTTGGTTACTAATGCCACTCGGTTTCACAAGCCTGCTTGGTGAAACCGAGCAAGTTTAAGGCAGAGTGACCATCTATGGCCAAGTGGATAAGCTACTGCCAGCATAGAGTGTCCATCTATGACCAAGAAATCGATTTCGCCTCAGTTGTTTATAAGGCGGACCCATTTATACATCCACAGATCATAATTTTGACCTGAATCAGAGAACGATCAAACTACAATCCAGTACCCCCCGACGTATTGATTTGTTATGGGAACATGGAGGACTTTGTGAATCGACAGAATTTCAGAGTGTACCAGTCACCAACTTCGGCCGGCGGGGTTCGAACCTACGAACTCTCGGACAAGGGCGCAGCTCCCTACCGACCAGGCACACAAGGGCATAAGGCATTACAGTAATAAGTATCTAATATAATTTGAAGTAACATAGATAAAGTGATAATACAATGTTGAATAAGTATGTCAATAATTTATTTATTATTTTTAAATTTGAGATTTTAGAATAAAAAGTTTGGTTTTACCATTGAGGTTCACTGTATATTTATCATTAAAGTTTTCACCCACGAACACAAATTTATACTATAGATAAATGGTTTACACGTAATCATACTTACTTTAATGTCAGCTGAATAAACTTTACCTTCTGTGTCTTTATAAATTAACTTCTTACCTCGTAACGAGTCTATTGCAATTGAAAATTCTACATATTCTTCATATTGTATATAAACTTCAAACAATAACTCACTGTGAAGCGAACTTTTTTTAGCAAAAGTTGTCTCATTGGAAATATTGTCTGGGGTAGGAATTTCAAGTCTTCGTATTCTACCAAAACCACCGAAGGCTTTTCGCAAAATTTTCTCACTGGGCCTTACAGATTTACTCGAACTGGCAAACCAACGAACGGGCATGTCTTGTAGATGAATAGTATCCGGTCGTTCACCGGGTTTCATTTCATTCACGCCTTTTGCATCACGGTAAAAAGCTTCCCATTCATGACGTGTTGGACCACTGCATGGAGCATGGGCAGCCCTCAGTTGCAGTTTCTCTGTAAAACCAGTTAACTTTAGGCTACTGGTAGTCCGAAGACGAGCCAGTGCTCGCTCGCAGGTGGTTTTATTCTCGAGTTCACCTTCTAATTTAATGACATTTGCAGTAATTTTAAGTGATTTCAATGACATGAATTGATCTGGTCTAATAGCAGCCTTTAATTTTTCCATAACATTCCAGCTTGAAATACTCTGACCTGGAATTTTGAGTTTAGGTAGTTGAACATTGATTTTTATCTTGGAAATGGGTTTTAAATATAAACCTAAACTACTTTCTAAGGCAACAGCCTCAGTAATGTCATTGCAAGTTTGAAGAGACATGATCAGTCAAATAATAAAGAATAAGTTTCACAGGACACAAATATCACATTATTATCCCACTAAAATTATACAGACGGAAATCTTATAATTCAATTGTACCATTTATATGAAAATAATTTCTTTTAATCTCAAAATTAAGTACTATAAAACACAGAACTTATATATACAACACAAATATTATAATTTACTTATTAAAACGGGAATGGCAAAGAACTCCACTTCAAGAAAAATAAACAAAATAGCACTAAGATGTGTTATTATAATACGACGTGTGACACTTTTTAACCATTTTAAATGGAAAATATGGGTTGCACTCTGTATTTAAGCATATAAAATTGAGAAACATTAATATTATTAATTGAAAAAACTGTTTATTCCGTTTTAATAGTACCAGTTGTATTTAAAAATCCCTTTAGGAGCTCCCTGCCTCATCGCTTTAAAATTACGCTTGTAGCTTTCATGAATTTAAGAGATGACAGGGCCCCAGAGCCGAGATGTTTTCGGAGTTCGGAAAATAAATCGTGTAAATCAATTCGGTGAATGCAGATATGATTTTATATAACCTTATATATATGTTACCGTTAAAGTATATAATGCAGTTATTTCATAGAATACCTAGTTATTCCGTGAAATAACTGATCGTGTCCGTTAAAGTGTGTAATATGTAATTAATTTGACACTTTAACTAGTTATTCTATGAAATAGCTAGGTATTCTATAAATTAACTAATGAGAGACAGTTAAAGTGTAAAATAAACAATTGATCTAAAATGAAATAACTAGGTATTCTATAAATAAACTAATGATAGACAATTAAAATGAAAAAATTTATCTAATTTATGCAGCGTATAAATGGTATTTATGGAAACGTACCAGAAAATCATTTGTTACAACAAGGATTACTAAAATGACACTATGGAATTACAAAGAACATTATTTCTACAACAAAAACATTTTTTGTTGAATAGTTCATAAATGCAGTAGGGGTGGAAGGTAAATGTATTTGTCGTGCGAGATATATGATTATGATATAGAATTTTTTACACTTTAACGGGCTGCAGATCGTTATTCTATGAAATAACTAGTTAAACCGTGAAATACAAGAAAGTTTTACACTTTAACGGATACGATCAGTTATTTCATGGAATAACTAGGTATTCCATAAAATAACGGATTTCATACTTTAACGGTAACATATATATATTATAGCCTTATGCGGATATGATTTGAATCAGTAATTTGAATCACTGATCCGAATCACTTGATTCGAATATTGATCAAACTCACATAATTCGAATAGTGATTCAAATTACTGATTCGAATCATGTGATTGAGATCAATGATTCGAATCAAGTGGTTCAGATCAGTGATTCGATACAAGTGATTCAAATAAATGATTCAAATCATGCCATTTGAATCACTGATTCTTATGAAGTGACTCGGATCACTGCTTCTAATCATGCGATTTGGATCACTATTCGAATTAAGTGATTCATATCAGTGATTCAAATCAAGTTTTTCAGATCAACAGTTCGAATCAAGTGATTCAAATCACTTATTTGAATCATATATGATTCGGATCAAGGATTTAAATTAATGAGTCCAATCATGCGATTTGGATCACTAATTCGAATCAAGTAATGCAGATCAGTGACTCGAATCAAGTGACTCAAATCACTGATTCATATCATGTGATTCGGATCAATGATTCAAATCAAGTGATTTAGATCACTGATATGAATCCAGTTTTTCAAATTACTGAGTTGAATCATATGATTCAGATCAATAATTCGAATCAAGTGATTCAGCTCATGGATTCGAATCATGCAATTCGGATCCCTATTCAACTCACCGATTCAGCTCACGGATTCAGGTCACGTGATTCAGCTCACGGATTCAAATCATGCGATTCGGATCCCTATTCAAATGATGTGATTAGGATCAATATTCGAACCAATTGATTCAGATCAAAAGGTACGAGTCAGTGACTTGATTCAAATCACTTTTCGAATCAAGTTATTCGAATCATGACATTTGGATCAATGATTCGGATCAAATGATTCAAATCACTGATTCGAATCATGTGGTTCAGATTAATGACTCGAATCAAGTGATTCAAATCACTGATTCGAATCCTGTGATTCATATCAATGATTCGAACCCTGCGATTCGGGTCACTGATTCGAATTAAGTGATACAGATCAGAGACTCAAATGAAGTACTTCAAATTACTGATTCGAATCATGTTATTCAGATCAATGATTCAAATCAATGATTCGAATAATGTGATTTGGATCACTAATTCGAATTAAGTGATGCAGATCAGGGATACGAATGCAGTGATTGAAATCACTGATTCGAATCATGTGATTCTGATCAATAATTCGAATCAAGTAATTCAAATCACTGATTCGAATCATGCGATTTGGACCACTATTTGAATCATGTGATTTGGATCAATATTCGAATCAAGTGATTCAGATCACTAATTCAAATCTGATTTGAATTGCTTGTTGAATCAAGTGAATCAACTTAATTGCGAGTCGCATGATTTCTTTTATTGGAAAATATTAAATCCTTAATAATGGATGCTTAAGAATCTATTTAAGTTTTACAAGAAACTTTTAACTTTTAACAAAGCATCACTGTGAACCCAAACTAACTGTTTAAGAAACAATTATTGATTATAATTTAAATCTTTTTCGATTAAAAAAAAAACTGATTCTGATCAAATGATTGTGATTGATTCGAATCAACTAATTTGAATATATTCAGTGATTCGAATCAGTACCCAAATCTAATTGATACCTTTCAGATGGAAGTCTTTTTCTCTATTTGAAGAGAAAGAACGTCAACAATTCTCATCCCTATATTCATGTACAACGATGCACCTGCATACTATCTAGTATGCTGTTGCGTTATAGCAGTGTTTCCCAACCCTCGGTTCACCCATTTCATTGAAACTAAATTTAAATTCCTAGGTTTATACCCCAAATTAAAAATGTCTGTATTCCATTCAAGTTTTATTAATTTTTTTAAAAAAAGGGCCCCCCGAATGTAGTGACATAAATTTTTTAATGTTTGTAATGTATCATTGTCCCAGATTACCCCCAAATAAAATCGTCTCATTGCGAAGAAACAAGCTCAGGGCTCTCATTGATTTAACGTTCTAGTATAAGTTAAAATGTTGAATAATTTTATATTTATTTTTTCGTGTAACTGTATTCTATTTTGAAGGCATGTTTAAATACAATTAAATTAAAATTAATAAATCAAAATAATCTGAAATATAAACAATCAACGCCCCCCCCCCAGAGGGCCGAGGTATAAAATTATCAAACGTTGACAGGTCAGCGGCGATTAAAAGGTTGGGGAACACGGCGTTATAGTATGCGTGGAAAAGAATTATGGGTGAAACTAGATTGAGACTAAATTGAGACTCGACAAAAACTGGAGGCAGATGCTCGGCAAAATATCTTTAGAAGAAGAAAAAAAAATAGGTGAATAATAGATAATAATATTAACTTATTAAATTAAGTAATATATATTTTGTCTAAAGTAAGAACTCCCCTAGCCATTCGTCTAGACCCGTGGTGATGACTATGGTAACGAGGTATAACTATTTCAAGTAAGGGTGTGGGGGCATTGTTTGGGGCATGTTTTGGCTCGGGTCGGCGAGCGAAAGGGAATCTCTTTCTTCGGCCTATTGTGTTAGCCCTAGAGAGAAGAAAAGCTACCCTTCCTGGAATGCACCATTCTTGTTTCCATAACAGCAGAACGCCTCAAACTTTGTGACGGGGGGAGTTCTGACAGTAGACAAACTATATAAAATATTTCTTCTCGGGAACTCTGTTCCATTGAAAGATCCAAGCTTCACCTATTGTGGCGTATACCGCCTACACACCACTGTATTATAGGACATCTCTTGGTTATTTTTCGCCGCTGAGCATTAAATGCGACCGAGGGAGGCAGAAAGATCTTCCCAACTTGGAATAAATGCTTTGTTCAACCAACTTCGCCTAATTATTCTGGTTTGCCTTGGACTTTCTAAGGTGGATCTTTTTTAGTTCTCTAAGTTCATTAGTATTACGGAATCGTATGCTCTTTGACGCTTGTGGAATTACATCCATTCTAAAAGGAATCAGTTTTGTTCTGACCCGGCAGCGAGTGAGGTTGTCTGGTCTGAGATTGTTTTTGTCTTTATTTTTCTTTCTTAAATGCTGTGTAAAAATAAATAAATGGATAAAAGTTTCTTCAATAAGTTTTTAGCAATCAAACCACAGTTGCTACAAAATGTTATTAATTTTTCGCCTTTTAATAGTATGAAACGTTACACACACCGTCTTAAATAAATTTTTTTCCCCTCGAATTATTTACAGTTCGTTTTTTTCTTTTCTTTTCAGATAGACATTTATAACAGCAAATAGAAGCATGCTTATTAATATAATTATAATATCATAAATTTAGTCTATTAATGACATTAGCACACGAAACATCATAACGAGCAAAAAGACTCGAAAAAGCGATTAGGCAATGGAAGTTAAAAGATATTGGAATGTGAACAGTATCTTGTTTGTTAAAATTGGGAACAATATGGCTTTCTTATACGATTATCGAGAAATTGTTTTATTAGTATTGGTTTAAAGTTTTATTGCATAAAATTAAGGTTTTTAAATTTTCAGACAAATAAATAAAAACGTGTTCTATCTCACGTCAGTACTGTGGTCGGTGCAAGACGGATGCGGATTCGTATCGAACAGCCATCGCTGAGTTTCGAACCCAGTTCACCTCATTGGAAGGCGAACGATCTATCTTCTGAGCCAACTCGGCTCACCTAAGTTTTATAGTAAAAATTTGCCATATAAAAATATTACACTATATCCCTAAGGATTTTGTCTAAAAATTTGCCATATAAGTATGGCAAAATTTTGTTATGCATATATGGCAAAAAATAAGGTGAAATTTTACCATAGGCAAAACCCCACAGGGATATCCTATGGTATTTTTTCATGGCAATCCTATGGCAATTTTTTCTAGTGGACTAGAAGGAATATTAATCAGAAAACATAAGAAATACTTCCCCAAGGCAAATAGAAAAATTTCGTCTTCGTGAATTCTAAAGACTTACGTACAATTAATTATATAATAATAACAAAAAATAAAATAAAAT